CAACTTGCTATGGCTAACAGATACACCCAATATATGGCCTTCTCCTTCCCTGCCACACACAAATGCTAAGGGAGAATATACTTCTTTTTTAAAAAATACAGGTGGTATGTTTTAATTATCATGTAAAATCAATTCACTTCCTAGTTCTTTTCAGGAAATGCAAATCACTATCAAACACCAAGCATAAAAGCAAACTCACTGAATTGAAAGGCATTTCCCAACATTAATTACATTTCAATTAACTCCACCAATTTTAAGTAACTCCACACAATGCATCAATTCTTTCAACTAAAGGAAATGCCTTTTACAATTAATTTCACTCTGTCTAGTTTATCAGGATGTAGTTCCTTCTCAGACAAGATGATCTGTTGGTAACAAATGCCTTTAAAATTGTTTCATACTAAAATGAATTCCTTCATGTATATCATTCAGAACCTTAGAACCTCTGCCAGCTCAGGGTGCAAGTGCTTGAGAAGATTTAAAGCTCTTCTTTGAGAAAACAACTACCTTTACTGCAGGTAGCCCTGGAGTCTCTGCCCATGTCCAAGTTGGTAGGCCTTCTGCCTAGGAGAAAATGAGAATTGGGTTTTTAACCAAATGAGAATATCTACTTTGCTGCCAACACATTTGGTGCATAAAAGATATGGCCCTAGGTTAATCATAGAAACACAGAACAGCTGCTTTATATTTAAAGACACTGAACATGATCTAATTATAAGCTACAAACTCACAGTGGCTTACCCAAGCCATCTGATATTAAAGAGAATGTTCAAATGGGCAGTCCAATTCTCCACTCCACATTCCCTTAACTTGATCCCTGTATTAATGCAAATTTTCAGAAAAGAAAATTGCTCAGCCCCTCATGATGAATTCAGTATTCTGTTAAGTTACAATTTTATGTCACTACTTAAGCTTTTATAGGTCAAAACAAGAAGCCCTCTTTTGAAAAGTGTTGGTGGCTTTTGCAAAACCATAATTGAAAAAAAAGTTTTTTGCATGTTATCAAAGTGCTTCAGAAAAGTACAACATAATAAAACCATCCCTTTAATTTAGCTCAGGAAAATGAGGCTTTCTACAAATCAATGTATATATTTTCTTTGATCAGACAATCAATGAGAGTTATGTGCCTCAAGTGTTTCTCTGTGTGCCCTGTTGGGAAACAATGACATAATTCACGGAAAGTGCCACTGCTGGGCATTGTAAGCACTCCATTACAGTCAACTCTTATTATTAGCTGTTATTAATAATTCTAATCTTATTTGAAATGCCAAGTGACATCTCCTTTGTCTGTTACTGTAGATGGTCTCTGTTCTAATTTTATACTTAATGGTCCTGTTTTATATCATTTCATTGTATACACTACCTTAAAATAGAAAAAGTATAAGTTCAAATTAAAAATTTTAAACAAGTGGGACTTTATGGCATTCATGTTTGCAATAATGGCAGAGGGGTTAGTTTAAACTTACAAATGAGGGCTGATGATAGAAGTATAAATAAGACTGTGATCAAGAAGTATGTTAATTTTTCCACCACAAAGAGAAGATTTGCCCAAGTTCGCATGTACCTATAATTTTTGATGTATAGTTAGGCATGGTAAAGCCTCAGTAGGTCAAATTAATTGGGACTTGTGTAGAAAGGCTAAAGGAATGAGTGAGAAGTTTAAACCATAGAATATATAAATAATGTAGTTCTATTATTTTAGGAAACATGAAAGCAGAAGCCGAGCAGGTCCACGCAGGAAGTAATGGCAGAATGAACCAAGGTCGTGGCAGTGGGAGAAAGATCCGAGTGCACAGGAGAGTTCCAATAAATAGGGTGGGGTGCGTGGGATATAGGAGACTGAGTGTCCTTGCTTTGAACTCTAGGAGATTGCAGAAAGATGCACGAGCACAGGCTGCTTGCAACAGAGATGGAAGCATTTCCGGGTTTCTAGGCTGGGCAAGCTGAAATACAACCTTTTAAAGACATTATAGGAACTGGTTTGTTTTGTTTTGTTTTGTTTTGTTTTTTGCTTCCATTCCAGTCACTGTCAACAGTCTTGAAATCATGGGCCATGGAAGCAGAAAGGAACCCCATCGACCATCCAGCCAGAGCTTTCCTTTTGCAGCTGAGGAAACTGCCCTGGAGAAATGGCTCAGCTAGTCAGTTAAACAGCCCAATATTAATATCAGGGCTTCTGCTTCTCAATTCAGCTCTCTACTCTGCTATCTTCCTGTGATAGGATATTTGTGTGGTATTATTGTGGGTTTTTTTTTTTTTTAAAGATTATATTTATTTACTTGAGAGAGAGAGAGTGTGTGTGTGTGTGTGTGTGTGTGAATGTGGGGAGCGGTGGAGGAAGAGGGAGAGAGAGAACCTGAAGTAGATTCCATGCTGAGTATGGATACTCACATGGGGCCAAAAATTACAGCCTTGAGATCACGAGCTGGGCCTAAATCAAGAATCAGAAGCTCAACTGACTGAGCTTCTCAGGCACCCCTGGTGTTATTGTGGTTTTAAAATGGAAAATCTCACCTTCCAGGAAAACCCCTCAGCCCCAAGCAAACCAGGATGGTCAATCACCCTAACGGAGATAGAAATTGTTATTTATATTCCCACAATCTTCAAGAGTAGTTTTCATAGCTCATCATGGCAAAAATTCACCATGTACTGGTGGCCAAAACCACTCCAGAATAAATGGTAGCCTTAATATTGAGGAGTGTTGACTTTACGTCAACAGAATAGAAGGGATGAGTAAGAAACTCTTCCTTTTCCAATCTCACTTGTGACAAGAATACCACCATCAGATCCAAGTCATGTGATCAAGATTCCATCTCCATCCCCTTATCCAATCATATTAGGGCTAGCAGATCACTGGTAAAAATCTGTAGAGGGTCTCTTTTTCTGAACACCAATTATAATCTAGAAAAATATTCCAAAATTTAAAGACAGACTGGGGTTTGATACCAGACAATCTTGCTCCCCATCATCACTCCAGGAAAACATGGATTGACCTCAAGGGCATTAAGCAGAAAAAAAAGACTAGAGATATAGTCTATCTGCTTCCCTCTAAAGTCCCCAGTAGCAAACAGCAAGCCCTCTTGCTTGCACAGGCAATGTCTACAAGATGAAACAGCAGAGACAACATCTACAAGAGAAGACAGGTGTCACCCAGCAGCCAGAGGCCTTTAAGCAAAGGACTGTGATTTCTACCCTGAAGGTCTTTCCAAGCTGTTCTGCTTTGACTGGACCCTGCCCTTCCTCATGAGTCATGCTGGCAGGCACTGTCCCAGGGCAGCCCAGCCTCTTCTTAATCGAAGTCACTGCATTCATCAGAGACACAGCCCCAAGAGCCACATCCCAGGCAACTTCAAGGACCTGAGCATCCATTTCCAACCTTCGTATAGAAGGTATTGAGGATTTTAATTTCATATTATGCTGCCCTGACTTTGTGAAAAGAAATGCCTACTGAGAAGATAGAAAGTAAGAGAAATAGTATGTTGTCCTTATTCCCGTACTCATCATGTAATATGAATGCCTTCTTCCTTTGGGGAAATGGATAGGTTGTTTTTCCTTTGCCCCTGTATCCTCTTTGATTTCATTTCAAGGCAGGTTTTGGGGGGGAAAAAAAGGATGTTTTTTGAATCAGTTCCATTCACACTAAAGAAACCATAATATCTTACTTTTTACTTCATTTAAAAAATAAAATTCCTTTACTTTAGCTAATCATATTCCAAAATGTTCCCCATACTCATTCATGAAGCTAAAGGATATGCAACTGAGCCTTTTATATAAAAGTTGCTTTTCTTAGGAAAAGTTTGTCATTCCCAGCCATGTGTCAGTCAAGGTGCAGCACGTGCTCTATAGATGCCTTTAAATTTCCTTTTCTGAAAGTCAGTGGGAGCCTGCAAAATACCAAATGTGTGGATGAGCCTGGCTCAAAGTAACATAAAATATAGCTAATGCATTTTCTGCAGATTGGAAGGATGAAATTATAATTTCAATTGGAAGCAGCCTCTGGCTCCATACCTTCAGATCATAGTAAATCTCCCATTTGAACACTCACACCTCTGAGGCTTCCTGATTGAATCAGAGCTCCAGGGGCTGCCTGCCTTCCCCTGCATTTGCAGACTGACTTTTCCACTGGGCACATATTGTGATACACCAACATATTCTCACCTCTATTGGTTTAGTGTTGTGTAGTTGTTGGGTTTTTTTGTTTCCCTCTGTTTTGTTTAAGGAAGTCTCTCTGGAAACCATGCTTGACTTAAAATTTGAATTTGAACCCAGCATACTAGAAATTGCCTTGAACTTGAGCAATCTTCTGAGCCTTTTCTGCATGTTAGTTTTCTATCTAGACAAATGGCAATGATGATACAATTATACAGGTTTCTTAGAAAAATGGCAATGATGATACAATTACACAGGTTTCTGGAAGAATTACCGCAGCACAGGTAAACGTGCCTATACACAAGACCTCAGATATTCATGCAATGCTACAGAGGAACTGTCACCTGCATGGCAAATATTCTGTGTGCCTTTCACCATAATAGATCAGTAGAGCAGGGCTCAAAAACAAGACTTTGACTTCAAATAGGTCACAATCTCCGATTAATTACCATCTATCAAGCACCTATTACATGCTATGTGTTGCACTAGGTATTTTAATATGCATTGTCTTATTTCTCATAACAACACTACGAGGCAAATATTATCATAGCCATTTTGCAGATGAGAAAATGAAGCTTGGATAAGTTAAATCAATTTCCCAAAGTCACAAGATTAATACATGGCAATGCTTGGACTAGAATACAGGCCTGTCTTCAAACAGCCCTCCGATGCAAGCTGAGAGTGCATTAGACACACGCACATATACGCACAGAGCTCATCATATTCCAGAATGTTCCCCATTCTCGTTCAGGACTCAGAGGGTTAAAGAGAAGATGACAAAATAGCATAAACAGCTGGTTCCAAGGTGCTAGTTGCTCTTCTGTGATACCATTTTGTTTGTGCTTCTGCAGCTGTACCAGAAAGTTTTTGTTCTCTGAAGAAAATACTGAACTGAAAAGATAATTGGTATTCAAGACACACATGTTTTCTACCAGCAAATAAGAAGAAAGCACAACAGTATTCTTGAAGGATGCTGATTTTTTTGTGTTTTGCAATTCTGCATTTTCAAAAATGACATCTGTTTTGTGAGTGACTAAAAACTCTGGAGGAAGAATTTGTAAAAGGAAATAAAATTGTGTTTCTGAGCATTTTCCTCCTTACTGCCTTCAAATGATGTTTAGTTGGCCCATTTTCCCAAAAACATTGTCAAGGCAGAAGTTTTCTATTTCCTGCCCACATTTCTGACAGGTTTGAAATGATGTTCCAGTGGCAAATGTTTTAAAAGTTTCTTTTAGCACTTTCCCCCATGTATCAAATCATTCTTTCTTTTGAGCACTCAAAAAAAAATTGTGCCTTCTAGGAGCATAAATGAATATAATGCATCCCATTTATATCATGCATTTCTAGAAGGAACTCGAAAGTATTTTACTGTCTTCACTTTTCCAGGCTGTTTATTTTTTGCTGGTGCATCAACAAATACAAAAGTTTAAGACAGCCATTTCTTATTCATTCCCATCTCTTTGATTTATCACTTCCCATTCCATAAATTTCCAGCCTCTACTTCACACAAATAAAAAGATGTAGTAACTCATGCAGTTTGTCAGCCAAATCCCAGTTTGAGAGAAGAATGAATATTAACTAAGGTCATCTGAGGAAGGCCCCACTGTAAATGGCACAGTGTCAGTTTGAACCCCTGTTCTCCCAAATCTGTACATGGCCACTCTGCTAGAATCACCTTTCTCTTCCAAAAACACATGACAGCTTCCAAGTTATAACTGGCAGAATCAGCACCCTCAAAGTGGGCAGGAAATCCTGGACCGCAGGTGCAAGTCTTTCTCCTTCTGCCTTTGCCCAAAATTTATGGAGCTACACATCACAGAGAAATGAAATCTAAATGAATCGTTGGGAACTCTCATGAGGAAGAAATTTCCCAAGTTGTCCTGATGATTGAGCTCACATTTATCTGGCCCCATAATTCACAAACTGTAAACCCTGTTGGTACAATGCTTCTTTCTCAAAGCTTAAATATGTCATTTTTGCTGTGATAGCTCAGTCATACACACTTCAACTTTCTCTGGATTTTAGGCATTGACCAGCCAAGCACACCTGCCTTAGTGTTTGCTTCCTTGCACAATCCCTCTGACCCTTTGCTATAAATTGACTTCATGTTTCCTCTTTGAAAGTACTTAAGCAGAAATTCCCAGACTGCTTCACATATAGGATGGCTCTCTTGTTATCAGAGAGACCAAAGCTATGGACGAATTGGCCAAGGGAAATATCATATACCTTATCGTTGGTGTCAGAGCTTTCATTGGCAAAACCCAAACAGAATGCTACTAAGAGGCAGAGAAATTTCCATACAAATAATAGAAGTAGCATATGGGTCAGGAAACTCAGGTGGAACAAGAGTTCCACCATGCCTGGTGATTTGTGATTGAGACCTAGATTAGGCACCATTCTCTACCTTTTGAATAGCTTCTGGTGTCACCAGTGAGACCTTCACATCATAAGATGGACTCTGCCAGTTCCCCATCACAAAGACATGCCTCCTCCAGAGTTGCTGTGCTGGAGGAACTCATGACACTGGAAGCTCTGGTACAACATGAAAGACAGTCCCCACATGTCCCGTGTGAGACAGGGTGGTAGGTCCTAGATTCATTTATAAGTCGCAGTGAAGAATGGGAAATGTTGAAATGGGTAATGTGGCTTCATTCGTTGTGCACATATATCACATCATGCATCACTTCCTTCTTTAGACAAGATCCTCTCAGGCCATGTAGACAAATTCATGATTATGAAAATTTCCATTTGCTTTCTGGGGTTCCCACTGTTTCCATCCTGTTTTTTCCATTTTGTAGAACAAAATTCTTTTCTTAGATGTTTTCAGGGGTTTCATTTATTTTCCTCCAAGAATTCCCTATCTATTCTTCCATACTTATAGACTGCCACTCTTTTCAATATACTTTATCTGTTTTTTTTCACCCTCAATTCTTATTGTAAATTTGGCTTCTTCCATATACATGTCTACTTGAAAACTGACTGTGAATGACATGGTCTCTCCTTACCTTCCTAAACTTTACTGGACCCTCAAGGTCTGTTTCAAATACCAAATTCTTCACCTAGTTGTCTGAGGTACTAAGCAATGCTGATCTCTTCCACGGCATTGCAGCTTCAACCACAGCACCTGAGTTTCAACTAGATGTGTTATATTGCCCCAACTAGAAACCTATGACCTCCCACTAGTAGGAAGCACAGACTTAGGCACAAAGCAAGCATTCAAAAAACACTTAGACACAAATGGCTATGGAAAAATTAGAAACGAGGATACACTCAAGAAACTTATGTATTTGTATATTTATCCAACAATGTTTATGAAGCCCTTAAACTCCTATGGTGGGCAGAGAGGAAACAGAGACACAATGTCATGATCACTGGTCTATAAAGATTGAGTGGGAAGAACGCAAGTATGAACAAAGAAGTGATTTAATGTGTCATGATAGCCTGTGTAGAAATAATTAAAGGGAGGGTGCCTGGGCGGCTTCGTCTGTCATGTGTCTGCCTTCAGTACTGTTCTTGATCCTGGAGAGCTGGGATCGAGTCCCGCATCAGTCTCCTTGCTCAGTAGGAGCCTGTTTCTCCCTCTGTCTGCTGCTCCCACTGCTTGTGCTCTCTATGCTTTCTCTCTCACACAAATAAATAAAATCTTAAAAAAATAAAAAGAAAAAATAAAGGGAACAGTAGGAGCATAATGGAGAGAGTGATCAGTTTTGTCCTGACTCAGAATTGAAGCAATGATTTTGCAGGATTTTGAAAAAAAGACTGAGACAGAAAAGGAAAAATTGAGAGTGTTCAGGATAAAGCAAGCAGTTTGAACAAAGTCAGGATACATGGACCCAGAGGAAAACTGTCCACATTCTAGTTCTTGACAAACTTGCTAAGAAATATTTGATGGTGGGTAAAACACATTACTTGGCTTGGTGAGAGAAAAGATCCACCGGGGTGTGGAGAGATCTTTCTTCCAAACCCCTGCTTCAGTGCAACATGCGAGATATGAACCTGGGTATTACCTCCCAGTTTATAATATTTCAGGGACATCCCACTGACCAAAAAATGCCCAAGGTTTTAGTGGAACATCCCTGTCCCCCACATCCAGTCTCATTGAATTGGCCCTCTTCCCTGGCCTGGCCTCTAGTCTCACTGCTCAAACCCTACCTTGCAATTATATCAAACATCATGCTTTCTGCTGCTGCTTATTATTGCTATGAAGTAATTAAAATTTAAGGCACATATAGAAGGCTTTCTACTGAGGATATCCAACTAAATAAGGTTATTGTTCTTATAGAAACATAGGATCGAGTTGAGTGTTAAGGGTGAAATCCCAGAGCACTTTCATCTGTGGAATGTTAAATTGTTTGGTAAATATAGTGAAACCAAAGGAGTTCAAAATTCTGAGAGAATGTTAAAAGATATCCCATGAAATAAGGAGAACAGAGAAACCAAAAGTATCCTAATTTCTCACTTCTAATAAGTGTATGTACACACACATACATATACGAGCACACACGCGCGCGCACACACACACACACACACACACACACAGATGTCTCATACCACTGGAGGGCATCCTGGAATCTGTGCATCACCAAAATATTCAGTGATAAAGACATTTTCTTCCTGGCACATTAGAGAGAGAAACTGAGACCAGACAGCTAGTAAGATAAGACACACTCTCCCTTCAGGAGCACATGCTGCCTTGGCAAACACAAATATCACTCACTCACACACACATGTACTCAAGCCTGTGCATAATTCTCTTGACAACTCCAACTTATAACATTAGCATATGAATGCTGAGGCTTACAGTGATATTCGCCCACCAAATGGAATTTATAATATAAATGCAATAAAAAGTATCTGAAAGATTACTCTTTGCTCTGAATTGAGTCTGTCAGAGCTTGTATGTAAAATATATGTAATAGCTGTATAGAACCCCAGTGTAAATATATTCTTCCTGCGTGTTCCCATGGAGGAAAGCTGAGATGGTTAGGACAATACGAAATTCATACCTCCTTCCCAAATAATGCATAAAATAAACGGCTCCAATTCCCCAGCTTTATGCACGTGTCTCTCCATTTCCAATATTTCATGTATTAGGCCAAACATGAGTTTTTTTCAAGGTCTCTCTGTCTTCATTTTATTTTTGTTAGATGTCCTTTTCCCCGCTGCCAAGAATTATTCACAACTCCAGTAGGAAGATTTTACAGTTGTATCCATAATCTACTCAAACAAGAACCAGAAATTATTAATACATGTGACATGTCTTTCCCAGTAGATTATAAACGCCTTAAAGGGAATGACATTGACTTGTTTATTTTTAAAGTCATGTCATCTTTAAAGTCATGGGCCTGCAAAAACAACGATTTATCATCTCATGTGATTCTGCACGTTGGCGGTTGTTCCTGTCATGCCTTTACCTGGGCTCACTCAAGAGGCCTCATTCATCTGGAAAGACTGGCAGACCTGGAAGTTTCTAACCTCACTCACATGTCTGGCAGTAGGTGCCACCTGTCAGCTGGGCTTCCTTCGTCCTTTTCCACGTGGCCTCCTTCCTCCAGTTGGCTAGACTTGCTCCCTTATATGCTGCCTCAAAACAACTCTGCAAGGCCTCTTACAGCCTTCCCACAGTGAACACACAGCATCACTTCCACCAAGCTTGATTGGTCAAAGCAAGTCAGAAGGTAGTCCAGGTAGAGATGGAGGGAAATAGATACCATCTTGTGGTAGGAGGACAGGCAAAGTCACCTGGCAAAGGGGCGGGCATCCAGGGATAAGAGATGTTTTGTAGCCATTCTTATAAACAATTTTCCCACAAGATCCAACTCCTTCTTATACTGTACTCTGTTTTGTGTAGTGGTATCATGACCAACTCATGATTTATTACGTGTAACAGGATGGAGGACTCCATACTGTTAGGCTTCTGGTTGATCTGACCAGTGAGGGGCAGGCAGGAGAGAACAGTTTCAATTAACTGGATGTCTGTGTTTTGGAATTGCTCTTCTGGCAATGGATTCTCCCATGGCTCTACCTCCTGCTGAGAGTACACTCTTCCTCGCCTCCAGCTCTCATCTGATTTTGGTAAAAGTGTTTC